TTCTCAGTGCTGTGCTTTAACCCGCTGCGCCACCAGGGAGGGCCACTTTATTGCTAACTTTTAAACAGATTATCAGTGATTTGCCTAAAAGGCTTCTTTTAAGAATGTAAAAGATACACAACATAGGCTGAACTTGAATTACTTTGTTTCTGAAAAGTTTCTAAGTTTCCTCTGATTTTCAAACAATGTTCAGAAGTAAAATGGTAATTTATTTGAATCAACACTCCAGGGGAAAAATCATAGTTTAATAATTTCACATTGACATTAAAACTTCAAAAGATGTTTACAATAGAGTGTCTTCTACAAAACCTTCTGTGGTTGACACTAATTACATGTTTTTCCATCTCAACTTTGAAGTGAAAAGTTGTTATATGTGTGCAAGTTGACTCAATGAATATTTATTGGGTAAAGGAATTTAGGGAGGTCTCTGGGTTTGGAAAAATGTATATAAAGCACCAAAAACATCTTTATTATAGATTTCTCACTTCAGTTGAATGCAGAATATATTGTCTTCTTGTTTTCCTGGATCAACTCTTAAAATTATATACACGAGGCAAATGATGCTAGAGAGATTGTATAGCACTAACATTTTAATTAAAATGCAAACTAATAATTTACATGTGGGTGTAGCAATTACATGTAAAATTGATGACTCCAATTATGTTATTAGTAACATTTTCATTTGATAACAAGATAACTGGATAATTAAAAACATGTAATTAAAGCAAAGTCATATCCTAATTTGTAAAGGTGATAAAAACAAAAGAGCATAGTAAAAATCCCACTGAAAAGTTGTCACTATACTGTTTTTTTAAAGATTTATTTACTTATGCATACAGAACTGGGGTACAGGCCAGCAGTTCAGGGCAGTGAGAGGATTCACCAGAGACAGAGTAGGGAGCAGAACAGGCTGTTTGATACAGGCAAGATAGGAGAGATCTGCTGTGCCATGTGTGTCACCTCCGGGTCCAGGGATCCATCCCACACTGAAGCTACTGTGCTAGCTTGCAGTGCTGCCTCCTAACCTGCTGCACCACCAGGGAGGGCCCAGTTACTATACTATTGAAATGAGCTAGACATCTTACAAACCTTGCCCTATGCTTACTTGTGAAAATACTTTAGAAACCCAACTGATCAAATCCCAAATTATGAAGTTCCATTTGTTTTTGCCAGTTCAAAGTAATTATGAATGGCACAGAAAGAATGCTGGAGGATAAAGAATCCCATAGATGGCCAGAATCTTACTTTGTTACTCAAGAACAGTTGATTGCAGCACTCAGCTACATTATATTTTTTTGCTACCTTCATTAACAAGCAGTGAATCACTTAAATGTAGTCTTATTAGAAGCTTAATACAAAAGATGGCATGTGCAAGGTACTACAGAGCCTGAGAGAGGAAAAGAGCTGAATGTATATTAACAATCATGAATTAAAAGAGGGATAAGTCCAGGCAGGAGTCTTTTTTGTAGAGCTCAAGGCCACATAGGAATGTTATATTCTTTCTAGTGAACTTGACTGGCAAGGGTCAAATAAGTCCCCTCAACTGAAAAAAAGAAATCACACACCCTAATTATATCCAGAGACACAGGGACTTTTTAGTCACCTGTTTACAAAATAACCCCCCCCTCATATTTATGAAACAGGAATACTTTTAGTAATACTTTTTTTCCCCCTTGTTACTGACTCAAATTAAGTCTCCAATACACCAGCAGAAACATCAGCATGCCTTTTAGACACAGACCTCTTTCTCCTTCTGACTAAATCTTCTAAATAAACAAAGTTGAAGAATACCTTAGTGAGGTGATTATCTGATGTCTCGGTGCTGCTCCCAAAGTCCGATTGCTTTAGGAAAGGGCACAAGCAGTGCACAATGGCCCTGCGGATGTAGTTGTCAAAGATATAGTAAATGACAGGGTTGACACAGCTGTTGGCAAATGCGAATGGCCCACTCACCTCCATGCCCAGCTGGAGAACAGCTGAAGACAAGGAGAGCTCTTGCTGCAACCCAGAGACAATGGCCAGCAGCTTGAAAGTATTGAAGGGCAGCCAGGAGATGACAAAGGCAGCCACAACAATAAAGATGACCTGTATGGATTTTCTCAGTTTTTTGTTATGTTTTCCTGGCTGCTGGTAATGGGTGCACAGCTTCCTTGTGATGCAACAGTAGCAGGTGACGATGCCCACTAAAGGGACAAAAAAGGTGACAATTAAGGCCATGAGGGCCCAGGTCAGTTTAGTTGATGTGGCCTTCTTTTCTGCACAGTATGGCTTATCATTAATGAAGATGAGCTCCCGGGACAGAAGAGTAGGCAATCCTAGCAGGCAGGAGAGAAACCAGATGCTGGCGCAGAGTCCATACGCACACTCTCTCTTTCTGAATTTCCTCGATAAAACTGGACACATGATGGCTAAGTAGCGGTCAACACTCATGCAGGTGAGCAAGAAGACAGTGCAGTGCATGTTGACTGAGATCATGTAGGAGCTGCCTTTGCATAGGACGGAGCCTGTCCTCCACTGGCCACAAGATGCTTCTTTATCCACCCAGAGAGGCAAAGTGATGAGGAAAATGAAGTCAGAGATGGCCAGGTTAATGATAAAGATGTCGATCAGTCTTCTGTCTCTCCGTTTGATATGCAATGCTGTCATGAGGACCAAGTTCCCCAACACTCCGATCAGGAACACGGTTGCGTAAAAGATGGGGAAGAGGAGAGATTTATAAGAAACACAGAGGATGTTCTCCTTAACGTCAGGATTTGGGCTGGCAGCATAGGCATAATCCAAATAAGATGTGGTTGCTTCTGGGTCCATCACTAAAGAGCAGGTGCCAAATCTGATAAGCTGATTTATCTATGAAGCTTTTGCATGAATTTTAGAAATCTTAAGGCAGCTGCTTTTATGCAGTTCATGCTTTCCCCACCCATTCTAAAGAATTTGGAAAAGGCATCAAACAAATACTTGAAAATACAGATTCTACCAATCCTCTAAAAGGGTACATCAACACCGCCCTCCATCATAGAGCTGGGTGTTTTGTGGTTTACTTAGCTCTGTATGTCCAGGAAACTGAAAGACATTCTGACATCTTCAGAGCTTGCAATTTTTGTTTTTTGCAAATTGCAAAAGTAGAAAAGAACATATCTTTTTCCCTCACCTATTTGAACGACATTCTTTGTTTTTCTGACAGTAGGAATTCTTTAGTTCTAGTCTTCTATTTCACAAATAGGATACCATTTTACTTTTAGAAGTTTAAGGTGATCACTATGAAGACACTGTTTTTAATATATATCATTGATGAAATGTAAAGAAAATTAGTATTCCATTGTTAAACAGTGATTGAAACCTTCTCAAATCGTATCAGTCCACACCTGTGGCAAACACAATCCACTCAGGATGTGAAATTGTTCCTGCTTCCTATCCAGCTCTTTCAGCTCATATATAATCTATCCTGTCTCATTCAATAAGCTTTATAAGTCCCTAAAGTCTGGAACCATGTCTTGTGCTTTCGTTAGTATTCATTAACAAAAAATTTCACTACAGCTAGCACGGCACCTTGCACTTGGGTAGTTGCTTTGGCACTGTTAGTTTTGCTTGTTTGTTTTTTGATTAAGAAAACTCTTGTTTCTATAATCCCATATAATTAGTGAGGGTGAATTCAAGGAGGCTTAACTACAGGCATTGCCGTTATTTATGTTAACTTACAAACACAGGTTTAAACATCACAAGTTGCTATTTCACCCTCTTGTCTGTCTGCAATTGTAATTCAAACAGTGAAATTCACTTATATTAAAGTTAACATCTTTGATTAGTTTTCCTCTGTTAATTCTCAAATAACAATTCTTTATCAGAGTCAACCTTCCCTTTGATCTTCTCTTTTTCATACTTCACTTTTCTAGAATGAGTTGCTAGCTTTTCAACTATGGCTTGTCACTAGTACCGCCACACATCAATGAACTTTACTGTTGGAGTTACCAAGAAATATACAAATATTAAATTTAATATTTAATAGCATGATTATAGCAAATATTAAGTTTAATGATATAATAGCATAATTAAAGCATAGTATGGGCACTATGAAAGGGAGATTTTTCATTCAATCAAAACTCTTAAGAAAAAGGCTAAAATGAAAAGGATTTTTCATATATTTCTGCCATACTTTCTTTTCACATTAAGAAGACCATAATAAAATATAACAGAATCTGAAACTAATTCTATTTATTCAAGTTCTTTACTGGCTGAAAGGCTCTCTGACACTCTTCTCTTCTCACTTAATCTCCCACATTATTCTCGGGTTGATATTACTATTGCTAGAAGAATATATGCCTGTAGATGAAAATGTAATGGCAAAATATTTGAAGTCCTGTCTGGTGATTTTTTTTTTTGATATTTAATATGTTAGAAAGAATGATCCTGCCTCAGTACTCCTTCCTCTCTGTTTCCTGATGTGGATTAGTGTCACATGTTCCCAGGCATGTGAGTCCACATCATGGAAGAGTGAGGGGCACTTGATTTATGCCAATCCTGGCAGCTTTATGCTTTTCATGGGGAACTTATCCTACACTAAGAATAGGGGGCAGACAAGACAAACTAATTAACCCTTTCAAGTTTCTGGGCTAGAAATCTTTCCACTGGGTAAATCTTAAATGTTTAATGAAGTAATTCCTTTTGTCAAGTAGTTTAAAGGAAGACAAATTGACTTGAATATAATTGTTGGGATTAACATAAATACTTAAAAGCTATATATATGCATGTGTTCATGTGTGTATTAAATTATCAATCATTTATATGTATCTATGTACAATTAAAAAGAAAGTATATATATAAAGTATATATATAAATATGTACCTATATTTGGACTTGTACAGGCTATTAAAAAACCAGGGGACGTCATAATTCTAAACTCAGGACAAGGGTCATTTTTGGGACTTTAAATGATCTTTGCGGCATGAACCTACTAATAATAACCGCCAATAGATAGATCAAAACTCAACAACAGCACTGCAATCACATGAAAAATAAGTATAATCAGGGTAATGGCAAAAAAAAAAAAAAGGGTAGATTGTAGATATTAGTCACTAAAATACAGCATATTCTCGGCACCTTCCCAGGGAAAAAAAAAAAAAGACACTCAGGTTTACTTCCCTATACCTGGCAGAATCAATAGCTTCCACCTTTGTATTTTCTAAGAACTTTTATAATATTGCTTATAAATTACTACCGTATTTCATGTGGCTAGTTGTTTTTGGCATCTGACCTAGTGAATTTTTATTTTTTTCAGAATTAATATGTTGAGAAAATCATGCTGCCTGCTGTATTCCCTGCTGTTCCCCTATTGCTCTCTCTCCATTCTCTCCAACAAATAGTTGTTACACCACTTGTGCCTTTCCTTGGGCATTAAACATCATCGTTTTAAAGGAGTGGATGCCAGATGGCATTAGAGTCACTGAAGCACTCTCTAAAAACTATGTAGCTCTATGAACTCTCTCAAGTATGCTGAAATGGAGTCACTAGGACTGGGGTAGGACCTTACCATTTACAAGCATCCGAAGTGTTTTGGACTCATACTAATATTTAGAATCTGTTCTAAGTTTCAAGGTAATCAGCTTTATATGTTGTTATTTTTGCTAACTTATAAAAATGTTAAAAAGTTTCCTCTAGGCCCTCCCTGGTGGCTCAGCGGGTTAAAGCGCAGCACTGAGAAACTAAAGCCACTTCGGCATGAGTTTGATTCCCGCCTGCCCCGGAGGTGACCACATG